AGATAGAGAGAGAGAGAGAGAGAGAGAGAGAGAGAGAGATAGAGAGAGAAAGAGAGGGAGAGAGATAGAGAGAGAGAGAGAGAGAGAGAGAGAGAGAGAGAGAGAGAGAGAGAGAGAGAGAGAGAGAGCAGGAGCGAGATGGAGAGAGAGAGAGAGCAGGAGCGAGATGGAGAGAGAGAGAGCGGGAGGGAGAGAGAAAGATAGATAGAGAGTGAGAGTGTGAGAGAGAGTGTGTGAGAGAGAGAGAGAGAGGGAGAGAGTAATGTTTTGCTTCAGATGTTCACGTTCTGGACTATGCTGCATTTAAGATACTTGAGCTGTCCAGGACTACTTGACGCATATAGATATACATGTAACACAGCAGCGCCTAGAGCAGCTCCAAAGCGCCGGAGTGTTTACCTGAGTCATCCTCTCCCTGTTCTGCTTGGGATTCATGGGCGCCTCTGTGAGCAGCACAGGATGCTTTTCTGGAGCAATGCGGAGCTCATTGTAGAACGTGTGATGCCAGATCTAGAAGCAAAGATCAGATAACACAACTATATGTAACGGTGTTGCAACAATTTCACATATTTCAGGCGTCACATTGCATGTTTTGTGTGTTCTTACTAGGCCGGTTTTTCGGGCGACATGGAATCATATGAAAAATCTTCAAGACCGCCGCGAAAATTGTCTCGTGTGAGCGGAGTTGTTGTACAGTCGTCCCTCTCTAACCCGGCACCTTGTGCAACGGCATTTTCTGCCGGATAAACAAGGTTGCTGGATTATCAAATCCTGCCCTCCAACCCGGCTCACCTAGTAACGTACATGTTTGTGTCGTACGTCAAAATGTAGGGATTTTCTGTGTCAATCCAAGTACTTTGTCACAAGTTTGTGGAATGCATGTCTGTAACATGCCATGTCTATAACATACACTTGCAAATATCCTATGCACTGGCATAGGATATCGGCAGTTTGGCACCGGTACGGTATGCGATGTACAACTGCTGGATTAGAAAATCAAATTATGTACAGTTTGAGTGATTTGTTGCAGAAAATCGCTGCCGGAGGCGGAATTCAAGTGCCGGATTAAAGCGTAGAAAATGAACTGAAAAAATCCGTTTTGCCAGAAAGTGTGCTGGTTTGCAAGGGTGCTGGATAAACAAGTGCCGGATTAGAGAGGGACGACTGTACAAGGTTCCGACAAATCTGCGGCGATTTTCTTGTCGTACGATCAACATTACCAACTATTGACATATCAACATGTCGATAGTTGGCCGAAAACTCGGCTGATTTTTGGTTCTTGCACATGGTGGATCGGGCCTCCAACCGATCACTGACGGCTTTTACCATGACAGCAGAGAGAAAACCTTAGGTTTTTGGCCCCTGTGCTGTGCCTGTAGTTCGTGCCAAATCATAGCCAGCAATCGCATGTCATCACGAACATTCAAAATCAACATAATTTTGCGAATCGACCTTTTTTTCAGCATCACTTTTCAACGAGGACGAAGCAAAGTCGACCGAACGAAGCCCAGAGGAAGAAAATCACCCTCTCCACTTCGCCATCACGATACTGACATAGATACGAGACGAAACAACTAAAAAATCCACAAGAAAACTGATCGGCCATCATCGCGCTGACTTTGGTCTGAGAATTTCTATCACGATCAAAAATGTACGAGGAGCACTCAAAATAAGCTACAGATGTACCTTTATCACTCTCTACTCCTTTTTCAAGACACAAAAGTCGACTCTCCACTTTCAAACCAGGAACCAGACATACCAGTGGTCCTTTTCAGCTGCTCCACGAGCGCAGGAAATGTTCACCAAGGGGCGCAGAGCAGCATCCATTCCAGAAAAAGAGCTAAAATACGAGTGAGACTGCATGCCTGAGTACATGCACGAGTACATGCAGAAAATAGTCAATTTCAGCGTTTCTGCTCCAAACAGCAACTTGCTTCGACTAGCTACAAAGATTACACCAAAGGATCAAACAACCGTTTTCTTCATTTTTTGACAGGTGGGATCCTTGTGCTTGGCCCAGCACGCCAAAAATCACACCTCGGAGGAGTACAAAAATTACAACTCCCAGATGTCCTCGATTGCTGGCCATGGATTGCATTTCCGGTGTCTGGCGTTCACTCGTACGGTCTAGCGCAGCCGTGTATCATGTGTACAGGGACACGTGTGCAAAGACACTAGACAAGCCGACAAGCCAAATCGCTTACTACTGTGTGGAGTGTGAACAGGTGGTCCAACTTAGCCGACTCAGTCGACCGATTTCATGTCGCAGTCGGAGCATCGGGCGAAAAATCCGCCTTGTGGGAACCCGACATAATGTACAGTGCTGCTCAATGAAATCAGGTCACGTGTACTGTAACACGCTTTTTAGACTTGTAGAGGGGACGGCTCGATACCGGGACGCTTTGACAGCCAAATTTGTATAGACCCAAACCGATCATCAGCGTTGATTTTCACTCGAAATATGTTTGTGGAAGGAAACTGGCATGTTGAAGTTTGCTCTGGGGCCAGAGTCAATCGAACTGAGCCACTCCTTTGTGTTGACCCATTGCCTCCGAATTGCCCAATTTTTCGCTTCAAAAAAGTTCAAATCAGAGGTGGCTCCAAACCGGACACGTTTTAGAGTGCACGTCAAATTCACTCTGGGTCTGAAATTAGGTAATTGCAATCGCTCCACGACGGCCAGTACAGAGTAACAATAAGCCTTGTGTGTGCTTCCATTAGTTTTGATTGGTATGCGGTGCTTTATTGGCGAGAGGCGAGCCGCTGTTTACCTGCGACAAGAAGTTGATTTTTCGAAAGTCGTAAAACTCAAGTCCCAGTGCGAAGCAACACGTCAAAAACTCACCTGCTTGATATGGCGCTTCTGGTCATCGCAGAGCCATGAAATTTTGGCTCGGAGTATAACACATCGTAGTCTCACTGTGACATATGTTTTCTAATCAAAATACCAAGAGAGAAAGTGAATATTGAGTCCGTTCCGGTTTGCAACCTGTGTCCTATTTGAAACCGTCCCCTCTACCATTCGGTAGCCCAGTGTTTGCAGGTCTGGGGCTGCGGCGTGCACTTGAGAGACTCGATCGGGTTCAATGAGAAGTAGTTTACGTGATTGATGTACTGTAAAACAAAACAAATAATTCGCAGTCTGGTACATACCTTCTCCATATCGTCCCAGTTTGTGATGATACCGTGTTCGATAGGTCTCCTGTTTGGAAACAATATACCCCGAGCTGGCTGAGCCTCGTCTCCTACATATGTGTCTCTCTGACTCGCACCCACCATACTGCCAACTTCTTTCGGACGGCCAACAACCGTCTTGAATTCTGCTCTTGGCCCGTCATCACCGGCGAACCCGGCCTTGCACGTATACGAACCATTGTCTACGACAATAGCGGCGGTATCATCGTCACACATTCTATCGGAAGGAGAGGTGATGCCACCATTGCAAACTAACGGGTTACGTTACTAAAACTAGTAAAAGAAAATGAAATGCGACGCGCAAGATCTTAAGAACAACTAAAATTAATTACTTACTTTTTTTTTACAACACCGTAGTCATGGTAGTACATGTACTACATATACTCACTAGTCTCAGTATAGTACGACAGTAGCACTAGTTGATGAGTGTTCTATTTATTTCCGAAATAATAATTATTGGGTTGTCCTTTTGCTTTGATCTTGACTCTTACTTCATTCAGTTCATGGTGTCGTAGTCATGACTCATGGTAGTACTACAGTCCATTCACTATATTAAACTTTTAAAAAATAATAAGTGTGCACTGTTATTACATGCTCCCATCATACGACTATGTACAAATACAAGGCAATTTTTCTGAGTGAATGCACGCTTGCTTGCTGCTCCTTAAAAAAAACCGGATCAAAATCTGTCCAAATTTGAGAGAGAAAATGGAAAATTGATTTTTTAGCTCGCTCTGCTGGCAGATTTCCGATTCCGTGCATTTTCTTGCGCCGCTGCTTTGTCTTTGAAGAAGTCATGCACCTTAATAATGGCCTTATATTATTGATCATCTCAACGCATCCACGTGGGGTATTCCCCTGTCAGGCTGGCACTGGCCTACATCATGTAGAATCCATGGCATGGGGCATACACAATGGCCCTTTGACTGGATGGAAAAGAGTGCACAATTATTATTGGCCCTTTGACTGGAAAAGAGTGCACACTTATTAATATTATGGAATGGACTGTAGTAAACTGTAGTTGTACTAGTATTCAATTTGCATGAGTGCAGGTACTGAGGTATACAGTGTACATGTAGATCTACATTGTACATGCACATGATTTATAATGAATGTCATTGTACAGTCATGTACATTGTACATGTCCTTCACGATCTGCGTGCAGACTTGCTCCTTTTCTCTCGATTGACAAGCTCTATGGCATGTCGATCTACGCTTTCGGATCCTGCACACATGCAGTTGTCATCAGTATCACCCATGTTTATTCTCGCACACTCAGGTCCTCACGTGTCTCAATCCTTTCTCTCTTTAGAAGGCTAGTGTTGCATGGAATAGATTGCCAGAATCTCTGCGCCAACAGTTACTGTCTTCTTCTCCTGCTTTTAAAACTTCGCACTCAATGCTGCAGACAACCCACTGTTTTCTTTTGTCCGTGACGGGGCGCAGGGCGCGAGCCTCAGCTTTCTCGTCAGATGTTTTACTTCAATTAGCGGTAGTACTAGTGGATCTACTAGTAGTAGTAGCCAGCCAACACTTCCAGCACTGGCTGCAGGACTACCACCCGTTGTAGGTGAGGCATGCCTGAACACTCTCTATCACACCTAGTAGTAGTGCTAGTAGTAGTACAACTGTAAAAATTAATGCACTGCCTACCTCTCGAGATCTCCCAGAGCCAGAGCTGAGAGCACTCAGCAATATGACTCAAATCCAAACATGAATGATTGCCATGAGTCATTCACTGTGACTCATCGAGTTAGAGTGGCAAGTAATACTAATAGTAACAGTATTTACTAGTACTGTTGTCAATCACTAGTCATCCCACTACTACTACTAGCTAGTACATGTAGTACTGTACAAGTGGCAAGACAGCCGCATGGGTGTCTCGGTGAGGCAAGACGGATGAGGCACATCCATTGCATTTGTGTCAGCTATTTCTCCATTTATTCCCAAGCAAGACAAGTGATTACTTTCAGTTCAGGATTTGAAGCTGCTAGTATTTCAAATCCCTCGACCAATGAGCACACTCCCAGATGACTCACCACTGATTCGTTGCAGGATTGCCTGGATTGGTCAGTGGAAAGGAATGTTTCTCCAAATCTCCCCAGTTCTGGCTACATGTAGTGCAAGTGTCACGTGATACAGATTGAGTGTACAAGTACCGTATACCATGGTATACTGTAAGACATGTACATGTACATGATTATACCGAGGAAGCAAATCTACGACTGCCTCTGCGCGCACAGTGTACAATCATGTACTAGTAATCATGGTACATGGTGTCTGCTTCGCGAGGTCTTGCATACCTGACTCTACTTGAGCTACATCAGCATGTCATGTAGCTGTCATACTCGATCGTCCTTGATTGACATTGACTGAGATAAAATACTGCCCGCACAGCCTTTTCTCGTACCGCGAACTCGGGTTCCTCCGAGAAAACATTCTTCAGGCATGATGCGTAGATATTCAACTCCAGCACGCAGAATCAATGAAGACTGATCACGGCCTGGGTCAGTGGGTGATTGTTATCACAAGTATAGAGAGCGTGCGATTTATGATTGTGTCAACGCAGAAGCCACACGGCTGTACAGCGGTAGCAATACCTGAGACTCAGCCTCTTTGGATGGACACATGGCCCTTGGTACTACTGATGTCGTGGAATAGATCGAGATAGATCGTCCGTGGGTTTGGCATGACTGTATGTGCGTGGCTTGTGCCCCTGCGATACTAATAATTTCAGGCTGGATTCTCCAATCGACTACTAGCGGTGAACAGCAGATGCATGTACATTGTGTGAAACAAGAATTTAGTGTAGGTCCGAAAATTTGATAGTTTATTTAATAGTTTTGTGTAATGTTGAAAAGTGCATTTGAAAGTTGAGAGTAATGTATTAAGAAAATGTACATGATTGTTCAAGTATTGAAGTAACCATGCCTCTGTGATGGATGAAGATTTTTGGCATCTAGGATCAAATAGAAAAGTGATGGATGGACATCATACTAGCCGCATCTCTAACCAGTTGTTGATGCAACGATTGCACTTCATCACATCAGTATCATGCTTTTGAGCTGCACCCAGGGACAATTCTACCACAAATACATGTACATGTACATGTATGTGTACCACACGACTGCAACTGTGTGTCTGCACAATCCAGTGGGTGATACTGTAGTGTGCGGACTCCTTGATTTCGCCATTGACCCATCCAGATGTGAAGTAAACTTTTAGTTACCGAAATAATGATTTGTGCACTGTAAGAACATGAATCTCTGGCACTCTGGTCCTTGGGTCTGTGCCATTCAGCGATTCCATTTTGTCATCTCTTTGACAGCAACACCAGGAACTGGGGTATTTCTCCGAACACCGAACTACACAGTACAGACTACAGTCACCTCGGACAGGGATGCTCATTGCTCAAGCCTTTTGCAGGTGACGAACAAGTCAATGACTCATTGGCATACGTGTAGATAAGATAGCCTTCACAGGAGATGCCTATACATATACTATATATAGGCTATGGTCCGTATGGAGTAGGTACCTGTACATGATTGTGCAATGACATCATGATTGTGTGTATGTACATACATGTATAGGTACATACATGTACATTGTACATGTCTGTGACTCTGTGGTGCAGCCGGTGCCGGGCTAACTATGACGTAATGCACTTGACAACCTTTCTGCATGCACCGATTCACCTTGATAATTGCCATAGTGGATACCCTGACTTCGGACATAAGATAATGCTATAGAGTGCAGTGCAGCGGTTTAGTCCAACAATACAATACACTGTACATGTACATGAACAGCAACACTCTAGTTCGTCATGCCTCCGAGAATCCACAGCGTTCCAAGAAAGTGCATCAATTCGAACCTGAAAATCATATTCCGACATTGCCTCAGATTCGAGGCGTTCAACTTTTCATTCTCCTATTCGAAGTCCATTGCCAATACATGTACATTGCATTATAATTACTCAGCACGAGCATGAGTGCGGCTGACGCACACAACGGGACGCAATGCCCGCAGTCTTCGCGATTGCTATAAAAGAACTTCACATCGTACTGGCTGGTTAGAGACGAAACGAGGAAGCGAGAAATAACATTGGAGTGAACCACATTGTGCTAAAGATTTTGTATTTCCTCACTCACTGCCTTACGGCTATCAACAGTATTTTCAGCGCTCATTTTTACCGAACTTTCCGTGTGCTAACTAGTAGGTAGTAGGTCAAGCTGTGCATATCCAAGTGTGAACTGAGGAATTTGCTCGCAGATCTGTCAAAGACAGTGTGCTATAGCGGGTTGCAGCCTCATTAAGTTTTATAACAACACAATACTATCATCACCTCTCCTTTCAGCAGAATGTGTGACGACGACATTGCAGCTCTTGTCGTGGACAATGGCTCCGGAATGTGCAAGGCCGGTTTCGCCGGTGATGACGCACCCCGAGCTGTGTTTCCGTCGATTGTCGGCCGTCCCAGGGGGCAAGGCGTAATGGTAGGCATGGGCCAGAAAGATAGTTACATCGGAGACGAGGCGCAGTCGAGACGGGGAATACTGACTCTCAAGTATCCTATCGACCATGGTATCGTCACTAACTGGGATGACATGGAAAAGGTATGCCCTTTTGAGATTGATCAAGAAATGTAGTTTTGGCTAAACTATCTCGATGGTAGAACTGTGAATGTTGAGCATTTGTGAGCAGAATATTGGATATGTGAGCATCGTATAATTTTTTCTCCAGCCTCTTGCCGTTACAGCTCCCTCAAACTTGCGAACATGTTGCATATCTACATGCATGTGCTGCATACGTAACTATCTTCAAACTACACAGTAAGAACTTTGTCATTCGTGTTCGCCATTGAACTTGCTACAGGCTCGAAATATTTATACCTTACAATGAGAATGACCACGTTACCTACCTGCCAACCTTTGAAAAACTGAGATGGAGACGGTGATATAACAATGTATGAAAGTGAGTTGTAACACACGTGTATGTTTTATTGTTGTCCGTAGATCTGGCACCATACGTTCTACAATGAGTTGCGTGTTGCGCCCGAAGAGCACCCAGTATTGCTCACCGAGGCTCCTCTGAACCCCAAGGCCAACAGGGAGAAGATGACACAGGTAAATAACACGCTGAGCTTGTCAATGAATTGCCAGGCTTCTACATGTATCTATCAACTTCTAACAGTTGTCAACTAATATTCTGTTTCTAAAACAAAAATGGTGTTCACTGCATCACTAGTGAAGTGGGTGCTAGTGGGTAGACAACAGTGAATCGGATGCGCAGAGGATATAATTATCACTTTAACATTTTAACATTTTAATGCTAAAACATTTTTTGAAACTCGGACGTTGAGCCAATAATAAAAGTAGAAAGGAAAAAGACATATGGATACGAGTTCCGACATTCTTTGTTCCGTTGGGACTGTAGCTTGTGCTCGTTTTCGTGGCGCTTACCTTCCCCTCTTTGGTCTCTCCATAACCTTGAACATTCCGAGTTGGAAGGCTGTTGGTTAGCGCTATGGAGATGTGTTGAAGCTAGGTGTCAGGACGTCGAATGTCTCAGTACTCTGTCAGTATTGTGCCTAGCTGTTGCACTTTCTGACTATAGTATCTGGTTGCAGTGATGAAGAGTTACTCTTAACTCGTATCCATATGTTCTTTTCCTTTCTACAAAGCTTTTTTCTATCTTTTTTTTTACGAAAGCTTTAATTAATGTTAGGTTCATTTATCTTTCTGTTCTCTCTCTCTCTCTCTCTCTCTCTCTCTCTCTCTCTCTCTCTCTCTCTCTCTCTCTCTCTCTCTCTTCCTGTTGGAATCTTTAGATCATGTTCGAGACATTCAACGTGCCCGCTATGTACGTATCCATCCAAGCCGTACTTTCTCTGTATTCATCTGGTCGTACAACGGGGATAGTCCTGGACTCTGGTGACGGAGTCTCCCATACTGTACCTATTTACGAAGGCTACGCGCTACCCCATGCGATCTCGAGGATCGACTTAGCTGGGCGAGACCTAACCGATTACCTGATGCGAATCTTGACCGAGCGTGGCTACTCATTCACGACAACTGCTGAACGAGAAATCGTCCGTGATATCAAGGAAAAGCTAGCATACGTTGCTCTCGACTTCGAACAGGAGATGACCACAGCGTCACGCAGCTCTACACTGGAGAAGAGCTATGAGCTACCAGATGGACAGGTCATTAGTATTGGAAATGAACGTTTCCGCTGTCCTGAGGCTCTTTTCCAACCATCTTTTCTGGGCATGGAGCAGGCTGGCATACACGAAACGACGTACAATAGTATCATGAAGTGTGACGTGGACATCCGCAAAGATCTCTACTCCAGTATCGTTCTGTCTGGTGGAACCACCATGTACCCAGGTATCACTGACCGAATGCAGAAAGAGATCTCTGCCCTCGCACCCAGCTCAATGAAGGTAAAGATCATCGCTCCACCTGAAAGGAAGTACGCTGTGTGGATCGGTGGCTCTATTCTAGCTTCGCTGTCCACCTTCCAGCAGATGTGGATCTCCAAGCAAGAATACGATGAATCTGGTCCGAGTATTGTCCACCGAAAGTGCTTCTAGGTGCAGTTAGAGATGCGATAAAAGACACACTCAACAGCAGGAAAGGAGTATTCCGCATTTATTCAATACCATCATTGTGTGCATTATAGAACCCTTTTACTACACAACGAACACAATACCTCCATACAGCCAGACGAAAATGCTAACTCAATCTTCGCAGTCATGTAGCGATTACAGTGAATGTTTTGCTACTTATGCTACTAAATCCATGTTCCATTGAACGCGCAAACCAATGCTGATTTTGTTGTTTCTGCTGCAGTTGGTGTAGCAGGAAGTTAATTAAACTTTGTTTTCGATCCCGCAATTTTAGATCTACATAATATGTATGCAGTGCCTACACAGCAAACTTGTGACGCTCCTGGAAGATATTCGTTATTTCTGTGCTAATTTTTCCAAGAATACTTTCTCTGGGAACACGATGGGCGCTTACGATTACACGCATTTCGGTCAATTCTAGAATTAGTTATTGTTGATGCACAGTTCGATTACACAAAAAGTGACAAATTCCGTCGTTAGAATTGATTTTATCCAATTCTGTCGAATCCGTCAATTCTGAAGAGAGGGCGGGATTTCTCTAATTCTGGCGCCAGAATTGCACAGTCGGTGTGTTCCCGGTCTGGTCATGACTAAAGCGCGCGAAGAGCCTCCCTGGTCGGCGTGTGCGCGATGCTGGGTCCACGTGCGCGCGAGGGTGGACGTGATCTCTTTTTACGATTCATCAATTTTGTTTGTGACCTGACATGAATAAAATGCGTTGTGAATTCCAGTCCTTCGTTTACAAGGCCGGAATCCGCTCATTCTTGTCATTCCCAAAATTTAAAAAACCCAGTTCCAGAATTGTGTAAACATGTAATCGAAAGCGCCCAATACAGCTTTTGCCTACCTTTGTTTACTACATGTATACTGTGCTACTAAGAGTATACATGTACATATACATTATATGTACATGTACATGTACATGTATATGATTGTACCGATATGACACATTGTGTAAGTACTCAGGAGGTTGCAAGCCTGTATGAGTTTGCTATGGGGGACCGCCGACGGCGATAACTCATCGTAAGTGGGGTAATATTCAGGACGTTTAGCATTGCAGGACGTTTTAGCGAGTAGCGCTAAAGTAAAAACTTCAAAAAGATCCGTTCCTTTTCCTTATCCCTGCATCGAACGTGAAACGTTCCCAAAAATGTGCCAAATACCGCTGATTGTGCAGCCGGCAATATCCACCAAGAACTACGTGATCCTGTGGATTTGCTACGTCCAGTATGATTCTGTCCATCGTGCTAACTCAATTACTTACTTTCACAGTGTAAGAAAAACTTCAGAACAACAAGAACAATCCTGGCTTGTTTGCTGCTACTTCAAGTTTCATGCTCTCGCAATCATCAGGCAACATGAAGTTGGGGTGCGACCATGACGGTATAATATATGCCAGGAGAGGGTGGGTCTTGAAGCACTGTATGAAAAGCTGTGTTAGAATGAGGGGGCTCTATATGTTTCAGGGCTAGCGGTGTTATTTTAGGCAGAAGGCTGTGTGCAGAGTGTGTGCTTGTTGAAGGCAGGGGGCTAGCAGTGCAATGTTAGCGCAGAATGTGTGGCTGGTGTGGGCAGGAGATAGTTAGTAAGGTGTGTGGATGTTGTAGGCAGGAGGCTGTAGAGGTAATGACATAGCTCATAATTGTAACACCCTGGTGAGAAGGTGAGCTATGTGCCAGGATTTTGCAGCCTAGAGAGCGTGTGTGGGCAGGCGTGTATTACCGCCATATTGCCAGGTGTGTCTTTACCGCCATGTTAGTCAAGACAAGTGTTAGTTCAGTATTTGAAGCTGCTAGTATTTCAAATCCCACGACCAATCAGCGCACTCCCAGATCACTTACCACTGATTCGCTGCATGGTTGGTCGTTGCGAAGAAATTGTTCTCGAAATGAACGATTTCACTTCATCACATCATTATCATGCTTTTGCACTGCACTTAGTAACGGTTTTACAACAAATACATGTACATGTACATCTGATGATGATTAACCGGTGGATTGTGATGGGGCAAATTTTGATTTTGATGCAATTTTGTTGGAACATATTGTATCAGGATGACTCTTAGGTGGGCGTGTCGGATGCGTGCGTGAAGACTGTAGACACGCCTACTAGCTGCTCATCTTCGGGAACGGATTCAATGGAGAAGGATGACGAGACCGGCGGAGTCAACAGCCATGGCTGAGCTGTTGGTGTTGTTGAAGCTTTATCATTCTACATCGCAAACCAAACAGACATTACATGTATGTAGGACCTCCCTAATGCCTCTTTGGCTTGCGATGTAGAATAACAAAGCTTCAACAACTGGTAGGTACCAGGCTCGTGCGCCGGTGCCCTTCAAGGGGGTTCCGGGGGGCCTCCCCGCGGGAAAATGTTTCAAAAATGAAGCAAAATCCTGCATTTTGAGCGAGAAAGGGGGGGGGGGTTCCGGGCACCCAGGAACCCATACAGGGCACGCGCCTGGACCGTGGACGGAGTCTACGTTTCTATTTGAATTCACAGAAGCACACTTGTGAAACATTTCAAAGTCCACTGCAATGTAGTTAGTTAACTAACCTGAAGTGTGTACTTCTCCAGTGCTCTAACAATGAGTACTTCTCCAGTGCTCTAACAATGAGTACTTCTCCAGTGCTCTAACAATGAGTACTTCTCCAGTGCTCTAACAATGAGTACTTCTCCAGTGCTCTAACAATGAGTACTTCTCCAGTGCTCTAACAATGAGTACTTCTCCAGTGCTCTAACAATGAGTACTTCTCCAGTGCTCTAACAATGAGTACTTCTCCAGTGCTCTAACAACGAGTACTTCTCCAGTGCTCTAACAATGAGTACTTCTCCAGTGCTCTAACAATGAGTACTTCTCCAGTGCTCTAACAATGAGTACTTCTCCAGTGCTCTAACAATGAGTACTTCTCCAGTGCTCTAACAATGAGTACGAAATAGAGGTTGCGACTTCGGCGATGATTTTTTAGGAATGAGCAAGGAGTGGTGCTTTCTTGCAGGTTTGCCGAGTCCAAGGTTTGATGCACTTCTTGTGTGCTGTGGATGGCAGTCGTGAGTCAGTCAAGTGTCCAGTCAAGTCGGCGGAATAGCGCGAGCTCCAGTGTGGGAGCAAACTCATTCCTAACAATGAGTACCCAAACAATTGGAAACAATTTAGAACGTTCCTCGCCGCCTACTGATGTAGAAAGTGGGAGGGACTGGACTCTTTCCATCAGCGTCAACTGAGGTCGCTTTTTAAATACAGACATCAGGTGGCCTCAGACAATATCGAAAAATGCACTATACGCTCGATGTGAAAGGCAGCCGATTAGTCACACCATCAAGATGTTGCGATGGAAGCTATTCGGACATGTCCTCCGACTGTCCGATAGCACACCAGCCATCCAGGTATCGGGGGTCAACCATTACACCAGCAATGACCTCAAGGGCTGGAGAGGACGGCCGAGGATCTGCGGCCATTTTGCCCCTCTTCTTCTGATTTGTCCTGGTTTGGGTTATGATACAGTGATCATCTGACCTTTTTTTAAATCTTTCATTTCCACAGCATATTATTAATTTTTGTTATCCTACTGCCTTCATTGTCCAGCACAAGCGAAGAAGTGGACCTATCAGTCGACTTCAACGCGAAAATGCACGAAATAATAATACCCAATGCTGTAGACAGGAAGCTGTTTCGGCCATAAAGGCCTCATCAGTACAGCTACGAGCAAAATAGGCCGAGCTACCAGCCATGGTGCAAAGGAGGTACCACAGATATTAAGCTAGCTCGTCGCTCTAGCGCCAGAGTGCTCAAACTACAAAAGTAACGTTAGGTGGCATTGCGTGATGCAGCAGCCCTAGAGCAGCCTATTGAGAGTGCTCAACAAGACGAAAGCCGAGGAGCGTAATACCCAATGCTGTTATGCAATAATAATAATACTGCTGAATGTCTCTGTAAGAGGATTTCATGATCGCACAGGACATCCAAGTAAGTTCTTGCTGGACTAACCAACTTCCTGCGAAATCTCGCTGTTGGCCAGCGTGTAGTATTCCCCAAAATAATGCGCACAAAGCACGATGCCAAAAAGTGCTTACTAGTGGCAGCCGGACTATGCTGAATGGTACAGTAATGCACTTTTAAGCAGGCGCGTGCCCCGCATGGGTTCCTGGGTGCCCGGAACCCCCCTTTTTTCGCTCAGAATGCAGGATTTTGCTTCATTTTTTTGAAAATTTTCCCGAGGGAGGCCCCCTGGAACCCCCTGCTTGAAGGGCACCGGCGCACGTGCCTGATTTAAGTGTATTACTGTACCAAAGCAAAGACAATGACAGATACAGTAACCTGCAGACACTGAATACGTGGTCACGTGACAGTTAGACGAAAATGGTGGAATGTGTGAAAAGTTCTCTAGACCAATTACCGGGAAGTCCATTCCGTCACAGTCTCTTCCATCATGCCTACATGTACAACTGAACTTAAAAGCACTTTCGGTGGACAATACTCGGACCAGATTCATCGTATTCTTTCTTGGAAATCCACATCTGCTGGAAGGTGGACAGCGAAGCCATAATAGAGCCACCGATCCAGACAGCGTACTTCCTTTCAGGTGGAGCGATGATCTTTACCTTCGTAGAGCTGGGTGCGAGGGCAGATATCTCTTTGTGCATTCGGTCAGCGATACCTGGGTACATGGTGGTTCCACCAGACAGAACGATACTGGAGTAGAGGTTCTTGAGCTGGATGTCCACGTCACACTTCATGATACTATTGTGTATCATTTCGTGTATGCCAGCCTGCTCCATGCCCAGGAGAGATGGTTGGAAAAGAGCCTCGGGACAGCGGAAACGTTCGTTACCAATACTAATAACTAGTCCATCTGGTAGCTCGTAGCTCTTCTCCGCTGTAGAGCTGCGTGATGCTGTGGTCATCTCCTGTTCGAAGTCGAGAGCTACGTATGCTAGCTTCTCCTTGATATCACGGACGATTTCGCGTTCATCAGTTGTCCTGAATGCGTAGCCACGCTCGTTCAGGATTTGCATAAGGTGATCGGTCAGATCTCGCCCAGCTAAGTCGATCCTCGAGATCGCATGGGGTAGCGCGTAGCCTTCATAAATAGGTACAGTATGGGAGACTCCGTCACCAGAGTCCAGGACTATCCCCGTTGTACGACCAGTTGAATACAGAGAAAGTACGGCTTGGATGGATACGTACATAGCGGGCACGTTGAATGTCTCGAACATGATCTAAAAAGATTTCAACAAGGAGAGAGAGAGAGAGCGAGAGAACAGAAAGCAAAATGAGCATAACATTCATTATTAAAGCTTTCGTAAAAAAATATAAAAAAAGAAAAATGCTAATGTTACCGCTATATCCTCCGTACATGAGAGTCACTGTGGTCTGCCTACATGTACTTAACTAGTGATGCAGTGAGCAACATGCTTGTTTTGGAAACAGAGCAATAGTGGACAACTGCTAGGAGTTGATAGGTAGAACCATGGCAATTTATCGACAAACGCAGCGTGTTATTTACCTGTGTCATCTTCTCCCTGTTGGCCTTGGGGTTCAGAGGAGCCTCGGTGAGCAATACTGGGCGCTCTTCGGGCGCAACATCCAACTCATTGTAGAACGTATGGTGCCAGATCTACGGACAAGACCAAAACATACACGGGTGTTACATCTCATTTTCATACATTGGTATTCCACTGTCTCCGTCTCAGATTTGCAGAGGTTGGCAGGTACATGCTCATAACGTGAATATGCAATTCTCATTGTAGGCTATAATATTTCAAGTTGAATTGCGAACACGAAGACGAATTGCAAAGTTCTTGTTTCGTAGATCCTTATGTAAGGCTGCAACCACACTAGGTACAAAATCACGTACAAACGGCATTACAGTAGAAGTCGTCATGCCGACGCGTACGAAATGCAAAAAGCGCTTTGTAGGTTTTCAGCAACTGGCGCACCCCTGTAGAAAGCCACGTTTGTCGTTTTCGTCGTTTTCGCGCTCCTTCTCCTGTGTACAACTTTGTTTTTGTACCTGGTCGTCGTACATAACATCAGCATCAGCATTGTTTTTGAATTTCCCGGTCTTTTTCAGCGCATGGTACACACGCTTTGGTACGACAACGTCACGTGCTGGTCGCGTGAAAACGTCATCTCTGCAGACCGAAAAGTGTAGTGTGGTTGCGTACCGACTTGTACTGAGATATGCATGAAAATTTGTACTGTGATTTTTACGTAGTGTGGTTGCGGCCTAAAGCGCACATACATGTACACGTAGATATGCAACATGTTCGCAGTCAAGTGGTGAAGGTAATTAACCGAAACAGGCTAAAGTTCAGTTACAGTTGCATGCCAAATGTCGCCACCATCGTAAAGCAACACAACAATAGTATCCTGCGCAGCGACCACCAGAAAAAGACCAAGGATGTGAGAACCTGTAACTGCCGTGTCAAAAACGATTGCCCCTTGGAAGGAAACTGTCTAACATCGAGCATTGTGTACAGGGCACATATAACCGGCAGCAACATGAAGGAGTACACTGGATTAACGGAAGGGACATTCAAGACACGATTCAATGGTCATGATCCGACTCATCAACATACCATTCGCCACCAGAAGCATGAGACCGCAACCAGACGTCTAGACACATCTGGAGACTGAAGGATGAAAACAAACCTTACAGTATCAGGTGGTCCGTTGTGGGGAGAGCTGAACCATACTCTAACATCTCGAAGCGCTGCAACCTGTGTCTGACCGAGAAGCTATTGACTTCCTGGGCCGACAAGACCCGCTCCCTCAACAAGAGGTCAGAGCTTGTGTCCAAGTGCCGTCATGAAAACAAGTTCTACCTCCGTAACTTTGTCCGCAAGGTCACGTGAATCTAGCTGGTAGTCCCGCCTATTTGTGTGTGTGTGTGTGTGCACGCGCGCGTATGTGTGTGTGTGTGTGTGTGTGTGTGCGCGTATGTGTGGGTGTGTGTGTGTGAGTGTGTGCGCATGTGTGAGTGTGTGTGTGTGCATGCGTGACAAAGAGAGTGCGTGTGGGTGATTGGATAAGTGAAGGTGCAAGTATGTGTGCGGTAGGTGTGAGAATGAACGGACGAGTATTGTGGGCGTACGCGCGTGTGTGTGTGTGTGTGTTTGTGTGTGTGAGAGAGAGAGAGAATGTGTGTGTGTGTGTGTTTGTGTGTGTATGTGATTTCGAGAATGTGTGTGTGTGTGTGATGCAGAGAATGAATGTGTGTGTGTGTGTGAGAGATTTCGAGAATGAATGTGCGTGTGTATGTGTGAGAGAGAGATTTCGAGAATGAATGTGTGTGTGTGTGTGTGAGAGAGAGAGATTTAGAGAATGTGTGTGTGTGTGTGTGTGTGTGTGTGTGTGTGTGTGCTCTCTTACCCTGACTCTGGCTCTTCGTCACAAGGGAGTGACGTGGCTCTATGGGGCAGTCATGCTATAGCACAGTGCTGGAAACTGAAATCCGACCGCCTTGGCGACGCGCCGCGCCGGCAAGGCGGTCGGATTTAAGTTGCCAGGACTGTAGTAGTAGAAGTAGTGCGTGTGTGTGTGTGTACGTGTACGCGTGTGCGAGTGTTTGTGTATGTGAGAAAAGGGAGAGAGTGTGGGTGTATGTGTGTGTAATGGTGTATGCATTTGGCATTTACATGCAAGTTCCCAGCTCTATTCCAGGCGCGTCGGAACGACTTTGGAGGTGGGGTGGCCATGGAAGGGGGGGTCGGGGGCTCCTCCCCCGGGAAAAAATTTCAAAAATTAAAGCCAATTGCAAGCATTTCCGGGCATTTGGTGCCATTTCAGTGTAAGGTAACTACAATGAAAGACTTTTTGATTCTGCAAAAAACCAAGAAGATGCTACGATCGGGGACAAACATTACCCTCCCCCGGGAAAAAATTCAAAAATTGAAGCCAATTGCAAGCATTCCCAGGCATTTGGTGCCATTTCAGTGTACATGGACTTTTGATTCTGCAACAAACCACGATCGGGGACAAGGATTTGCCACGTTTGCGCTGAGATCATCGCGCTTTGTTGCAGTGTGCTAAAAAAAAAAAAAAAAAAAAAACGGCCGAAAAAGTGGGGCGGCCATGGCCGCCCCGGCCAGTGCGGTTCCGACGCCCTTGTATTCTCATTCACGCTGGAACTGCTGCTGCTGCATAGCCCCAAGTCTGAAGACTTGGCAACTTCATGCCTGAACCTGACTCTTGCGCTATGATGCCCTCAGAATTTCCCACCTTGCCCCCCCCCCCATAATGTTCTGGCTGCCCGTTTTGGATCCATCAGCTGCCTGATGATCGTAGTAATACGTGAAACTCAGAGTTGTAACACAGCTTCCAATCTCTCTCTTGTATGCAACATGTTCGCAAGGTTGAGGGTGCTGAAACGGCAAGAGGCTGGAGAAATAATTAAACGATGCTCACATGTCCAACATTCTCCTCACAAATTCACAACATTCACAGTTCTACCATTGAGATAGTTTAGTCAAAACTGCATTTGCTGATTACATGTGTTTGATAATCATGAAAAGGGCATACCTTTTCCATGTCATCCCAGTTAGTGATGATACCTTGTTCGATTGGATACGTGAGAGTCAGTGCTCCCCGTCTCGACAGCGCCCCATCTCCGATGTAATTATCTCTCTTTCTCGCCATAACGCCGCCTTGCTCTCTAAAACGGCCGACAACCGACGGAAACACGGCTCGCGGTGCGTCACCATCGGCGAAACCGGCCTTGCACATTCCGGAGCCATTGTCAACGACAAGAGCTGCAACAGCGTCGTCACACATTCTGCTGAAAGGAGAGGTGAATCTAATAATATTATTGTGTTGTTGCACAATCATGTAGAACTTAGTGAGGCTGCATTTCGCTCTAGCACAATGTCTTTGATAGATCGCAAATCCTTCGGTACACGCTTGGATCTGCACTACTGGAGCTAGTTTAGCGCCGACCAATACCGCAGCATGACTCGATCAACATGAATACTAGACATGGACCCCATACACACGGAAAGTGCGGGATAAATTATAATGAGCGCTGGAAATACTGATGATAGCCGTGTACCATGCATGGTGTACGTGTGGCAGGGAGAGAGTAAAAAGAAAATCATTATAATAATTATTTGATGAGAGCACAATCATTGTGACATTGAATGTGGCCGTGGTTCATTTCAATGGTTTTTTTCGCTTCTTTGTTTCGCCTCTAAGCCAGTGCGACATGAACAATACTAATTATGGTGAAGTAACACTAGTACTAGCTCTTTCATAGCAACGAAAGACTGCGAAGACTGCGGGCATTGCGTTCCGTTGTGTGCGTCAGCCGCGCGTATCCTCATGCCATCACTCACACGAATCTTCAAATCAGAAAGAAAGGCCCAGCATGCCAGTACAGCAAACATTGTAGCCAGCTCCATAACCAAAGGCATCTCTCCTGTCAGTGTCAAGGCTGTCTTATCTCAAGTGTCGACATGTCATACAATGCCAATGAGTCATTCACTTGTGGTTGAGCTGCTAATGCTAGAGCATCCCAGTCCGACATGACTTTACTCCTCAATAGTCTGTAGTCTGCACCCTTCTCTACTGTCTGTAGCTGTCAAAGAGATGAGGTTTCTTCACATGTTCACTTTGTCTTCATCCTTGTCTACAGACTACATGTACATGTATGCCTACATGACGTCACGTGTAACTCATTTTCTCATTGTTGTATTTTAGCTATTATTCTTTGCCCTGATACATCATGTACAGTGCATGTCACGTCTTTCTTGTACAATAGAGAGGTTTCGCTTCACGTTGTTCTGCACTACACCGTGAAATTTCACGTCGGTGTGGCAAATTTTGGCGTCGAAACTCCCGTTCATGACGTGAGTTGAGGTCAACTCACGCTCGACGTGAACGCGAGTTTTTGCAAATTTAGCCTTGCGATCAGGTTGGGATTATTGACTCGATTTGTCGATTTAGCCTAAACTAGCTATAAATTACTACTTGACTCTGTCCCCCTGTTCCTCTGTTCTTGCCTGTATATCACCTAAGGAGAAGGCACGAAAGTGTAATAATTATTGTGAAACACATTTCAAAGCGAAGAAAAATTAATATTGATTTCGAATCTGACACAATTACAATAATTCAAAATCTGCAATTTTGAACCTGAAATATGTGACAATGTGACCATATCCCTGGCATATTGTTGCTCTTCATGCACTGAGACAACGCTTGTTAGGTTGTTCTGTCCCTATCTTCCCAGTACATGAGCACAAACTAATTTTCATCCTTCATGTTTTGTGACACCCTGATTGGTCAGAATTCTGCACAATTGGCGCGTATCTTTGGTAATCGACCTGTGACCTACTGCATGCTGTGCCAATATCCGTGCTTACCGGGGTGCAGTGATACATGTACATATGGAGTCAGGAAAACACAACTTGTATACAAAAGTGTGTTAGTTATCTAGAATTCTAGATTTCATGCCATGGTTGCTTCTTTGGCTACGATAGCCCCTTACATGTACATGTACATGTACATGTACATTCGATTGCTGGTACATAAAGGGCTAAAGGTTTTCCCCAAAGGCACAGCCTAATAGATCTCCTAACAGTGAAAATGATTCTTGATTTATATACTAATTAGTGAATCGACTTGTGCAGGCAAATATATGCTGTTTTTAATGAGCGCTAAATTGTGTCCGAAATTCTGAAACAGAATCTATAGCGTTAATCTTGGGTGGAAGGCAATTCCAATAATTTGCCGATTTTATAATAAGAAAAGGGAAGATTCAGCATATATTTGCCTGCACAAGTCGATTCTGGGTTTCAATAATATTTTTGTTATAAAATACACAGTCATACATGTCGAACAAGTAACGTAGTTGCGTGATGTCTGCGGCCTTCATCCTATTCATACATGTAGCTATATTAAAAGGGAAGATGAAAATAGTAAGTGCACTGTAGTCATTATATTGCAGTACCAACAAATACACAATCTTACAAGCAGTTTATTACACAAAATTAATTACAAACTACCAGTAACTGTCTTGGCCAACAGCTGACAAAAGTGGAAAGCGGGACCAAAGTGTCCACATTTCATGAAATCTGGACGAAAGGCGTCCGGATGAGGACCTCAGCAGGACGCAGGATTCTCTCAACTCTGGACTGACCAGACGAGGTCGTGACGGTTGGACAGTCTGCCGTTTATTCTTAGAGGGTCTTCCAGGTTCAAGATACACATACATGTACTTGTACATGTATGTGTATCTTGTACTGTGTAATCGAGCGTCTCCATTGGCTGCTCTCCATTCCGTCACAGTCTCTTTCATCGTACGTACACGTACACACCTCGATAGGCGATTTGCCTTTTGGGTCATCCTAATAAAGTTATTATTATTACATGACTGTACTACTGTACTACTGTACTACTGAACTTAGATTTTATATTGTTTTCATAATTATAATATGAAACTCGGATGGTGAGCCATAAATAAATGTAGAAGAACCTTCCAAGTTGGAAGGCTGTCGGTTAGCGCTACGGCGATGTGTTGAAGCTAGGTGTCAGGACGTCGAATGGTTCAGTACTCTGTCAGTTTTGTGCCTAGTTATTGCACTTTATGACTGTATAATAGTATCATGTTACAGTGATGGAGAGTTACTCTTAACTCGTATCCATATGTCCTTTTCTCTTCTACATATACAAGTAATTATAATATTATTTGTTTATTTTGACTAAGTCTCTCGAATGAATGCGGAAAGTGGCGGCGGGCCCTGCTGCTCAGCCGAACTTGGTGGTCTCGGCGTCTGCACAGACAAAGCGCGCCAAGAAAAATAGAGAAGGACCTAAGAGAGAGAAAGAGAAAAACAAGACGAGAGCAAGACATGTGTACGGAAGTGTAGCGCCCACTAATAGCTGATGCACTTTCGGTTTACAATGCTTGGACCAAATTCGTTGTAATCTTCCTTGCAGATCCACATCGGCTGGAAGGTGCGCAGCGAAGCTAGAATAGAGCCACCGATCCACGCAGAGTACTTCCTTTCAGGTGGAGCGATGATCTTTACCTTCATCGAGCTGGGTGCGAGGGCAGAGATCTCTTTTTGCATTCGGTCAGCGATACCCGGGTACATGGTGGTTCCACCAGATAGAACGATACTGGAGTAGAGGTTCTTGGGGATGTCCACGTCACACTTCATAATACTATTGTACGTCGTTTCGTGTATGCCAGCCTGCTCCATGCCCAGGAGAGATGGTTGGAAAAGAGCCTCGGGACAGCGGAAACGTTCGTTACCAATACTAATAACTTCTCCATCTGGTAGCTCGTAGCTCTTCTCCACTGTAGAGCTGCGTGATGCTGTGGTCATCTCCTGTTCGAAGTCGAGAGCTACGTATGTTAGCTTCTACTTGATATCACGGACGATTTCGCGTTCAGCAGTTGTCGTGAATGAGTAGCCACGCTCGGTTAGCATTCGCATCAGGTAATCGTTCAGGTCTCGCCCAGCTAAGTCGATCTTCGAGATCGCATGGGTTAGCGCGTAGCCTTCATAAATAGGTACAGTATGGGAGACTCCGTCACCAGAGTCCAGGACTATCCCCGTTGTACGACCAGTTGAATACAGAGAAAGTACAGCTTGGACGGATACGTACATAGCGGGCACGTTGAATGTCTCGAACATGATCTAAAAAGATTCCAACAAGGAGAGAGAGAGAGAGAGAGAGAGAGAGAGAGAACAGAAAGCAAAATGAGCATAAAATTCATTATTAAAGCTTTCGTAAAAAAATATAAAAAAAGAAAAATGCTAATGTTACCGCTATATCCTCCGTACATGAGAGTCACTGTGGTCTGCCTACATGTACTTAACTAGTGATGCAGTGAGCAACATGTTTGTTTTGGAAACAGAGCAATAGTGGACAACTGCTAGGAGTTGATAGGTAGAACCATGGCAATTTATCGACAAACGCAGCGTGTTATTTACCTGTGTCATCTTCTCCCTGTTGGCCTTGGGGTTCAGAGGAGCCTCGGTGAGCAATACTGGGCGCTCTTCGGGCGCAACATCCAACTCATTGTAGAACGTATGGTGCCAGATCTACGGACAAGACCAAAACATACACGGGTGTTACATCTCATTTTCATACATTGGTATTCCACTGTCTCCGTCTCAGATTTGCAGAGGTTGGCAGGTACATGCTCATAACGTGAATATGCAATTCTCATTGTAGGCTATAATATTTCAAGTTGAATTGCGAACACGAACACGAATTGCAAAGTTCTTGTTTCGTAGATCCTTATGTAAGGCTGCAACCACACTAGGTACAAAATCACGTACAAACGGCATTACAGTAGAAATCGTCATGCCGACGCGTACGAAATGCAAAAAGCGCTTTGTAGGTTTTCAGCAACTGGCGCACCCCTGTAGAAAGCCACGTTTGTCGTTTTCGTCGTTTTCGCGCTCCTTCTCCTGTGTACAACTTTGTTTTTGTACCTGGTCGTCGTACATAACATCAGCATCAGCATTGTTTTTGAATTTCCCGGTCTTTTTCAGCGCATGGTACACACGCTTTGGTACGACAACGTCACGTGCTGGTCGCGTGAAAACGTCATCTCTGCAGACCGAAAAGTGTGGTGTGGTTGCGTACCGACTTGTACTGAGATATGCATGAAAATTTGTACTGTGATTTTTACGTAGTGTGGTTGCGGCCTAAAGTGCACATACATGTACACGTAGATATGCAACATGTTCGCAGTCAAGTGGTGAAGGTAATTAACCGAAACAGGCTAAAGTTCAGTTACAGTTGCATGCCAAATGTCGCCACCATCGTAAAGCAACACAACAATAGTATCCTCCGCAGCGACCACCAGAAAAAGACCAAGGATGTGAGAACCTGTAACTGCCGTGTCAAAAACGATTGCCCCTTGGAAGGAAACTGTCTAACATCGAGCATTGTGTACAGGGCACATATAACCGGCAGCAACATGAAGGAGTACACTGGATTAACGGAAGGGACATTCAAGA